GAGTGGAGGGAACGACTCGGGCAACCGAGCGCCGGGCACGCCGTCATCGCGGCGGTAAGACCCGTTATGGAGGATTGGCTCGAGAGGCGTCACGGGACCCTCTCATACCGACTGACGCAGGTGATCACTGGGAAAGAATGTTTCGGGGATCACCTGTGTCTGATCCGCAAGGAGCCAACGCCCGAGTGCCACCACTGCGATGGCCAGACCGTGGACACGGCTCTCCACACGCTGGCAGAGTGCCCGGCGTGGGTTGAGCAGAGGAGAGACCTCGTGGCGGCCATCGGAGTGGGAGTTCTCTCGCTCGATAGCCTGATTGCGGCTATCGTGCGGAGCGAGAGTGCGTGGAACTCTGCCGTCTCCTTCTGTGGGCAAGTTATGCTCGCGAAGGAGACGGCGGAGCGGAACCGGGAGAGGTTTAGAACTCCCCCGGCCCGCCAGGCCCGGGAACGGACTAGATACCGCAGGCGACTCAGGTCCTCCATAAGCGCAGGCCTGGGGGTGAGGCCATCTGTCACCCTAGCAGAAGCAGGTAGGGGTGGCGGCGAGCGCGTTGCGAAGCGCGCTGGCTTCCAGGGAGCAGAGGGAACATGGAGTTCCCACACGAGGGGGTCGTCTACTCGTCTGGCCCGAGGTATGTCGGGGCACCAGGGACTTCCTTTCTAGGGTATACCTGGTTCCCCGGCTATTAGTACCCGAGACGGCGTGCGGTTTTAGTCGGTTCGAGTCCGACATGCCAGTGTGAAATTTTCATTTGAATCTTGTTTCACATGATACCTATGAGGTTCTTCTATTAAAAATGTGCAGTATTCGATTTTCGACTCTCAATTGTTTTTTTTTATTCAGCTTAGACGTGAAAGATACGTTTTTTAATACGAGTTCCACAAACGAGAACGAGAAACGGCTCGCAATATCAACGCTTCGTTTTGAGAGGAGACTGGAAACTTCGACTTGCAGAAGGAATCATATGGAAGACCGCCCACACAGGTGAATAACGCTGAATTGAAGGAGATGGTGGATGCCGATCCGAGTCAAACTACGCAGGAATTAGCGGCATGGTTTAACGTTACTCTACCTACAATATTGACTCTTTTGCATCAAATCAATAAGGTAAAAAAATATGAAAAATAGGTGTCAGATGATTTGACTGATTTGCAAAAAGAAATGAGTGTTAAAGCTTGTGTTGCCTTGTTGAATCGGTACAGAAATTAAGTAGTAGTAGTAGTATGTGGAGTAATAGACTAGGGCTGTCCTGTCAATGGCACTATATGGTGCAACGGTGTGGGCGAAAGCTTTGATCGCCAGAAAAAGGCATGCCTCTAGAACTTTCAGAGGGCGTTGGCAGATCTTTTCCATGGGATTTAAAGACGGAAAAGAGTGGTTAAATGCCGCTTGCCGAGCCAGGAGTGAATTAAATTTGGGCCTGTCACCACTGCAATGCAGTTTGAACTCGGCTCAGCGTGTAGTGTGTAGTGGTCAACGTAGCGTCAGGCGCTCATCGCAGTGATCGGAGAGGATTTCTCGCTACCAGCCGTTACACGAACCGTCACTGGCGCGCCTTCCAGCGCCTCATGCCGCCGTAAGTGTGGTCGCAGGTCAACGGGTTTTCCATTCCACTCACCACGAAGTTCTACCGCGAAGAGGTGACGTCCTCGTGTGGCGAACGTCTTCTGAATGACAATTTATCTCCGAAGGTGGTGACCGCGCTTTTATAGGGCTGGCACTAGGAGGGGCGGAGCCGTCATGAACCCAAGAAAGACCGGTTTCGGTCGGCGTGAAATGTTGTGCGGCGTTCCGCAGGGCTCGGTGACGACGTGCGTTTACCGCACGCCGCGCACCGTGAGTATCCGGCGACTGGGACTCGTGGTGTCTCTGGACAAATCTGAGGCCTTGTTCTATGATGAGGACATCAGTAACTTCGGGTATAGCAACATAACTTTGCGTCAATGAAGTTGGCTGCAAACCGAATGCTGCGCAGGTACACTCGCAAATAAACGTACTGAGCCTAGAATTTTTTCATTTATTTTTGTGTGAATTATTAGTAGCCTAATAATTCACCAAGTAATATTAAAATTCAATTTATTTAATTCAGAATTGTAACTAATATTTAAAGTACATGTGTATCTATTTCCGAACAATTACGTTAATATTTTAAATACTATAGTGGCAAAAAAGTAAAATACATATCACGCTTTTGGTAACAACTCCGACTACTAGGGAATACGTTATCAAAAAATAGACAGTTTTATAATTATGTTCAAAACTTAATCTATTAAAGTGGCAAATTACTAAAATTATATCTATAATAATCTGAAGTAGTTCTCAGTAAATAGGATTCTTAAAAGTAGGAAATCAACTTACAAACATAAACAAAGCAAATAACAATATTAACAGATTTTTTATAAACAATTATGTTCACAACAGTACGTTAGAGCAAAGCAGATAAGTCAATGTGTTAGAGCGAGATGCACTACTGACCTTGCCGTCTCTTTTCGATGCTCAGACATTACCCCTCTGATACCTAAAATACAATTCTGCTGCGCTTCTCGCGCGATCTTCGTTGACGCAGAGCTATATGGCGCGTACTACACCGGCCACCAAATCATACTTCTACTACTGCCTTTTATCCAACTTCGCTCCTGGGCTCGACAAGGTACTCGTAAAGCACACAACTGGAGGTGGAAAACTCACCGGCTGCAGACAGTCCAAACTGGTGCAACTAAAGTCACCCTACAACTTACTTGCAGACTCATCAGTCAGACTAGATATGTGAACGGTTGTAGGAACTATAACGAAAATACAAAAGTTTTTATAGTACTGTTTAATCACTACAAATATGAAGGTAGTGGAGATAAAAGAAATAGAAAGAGTATTTCATGCAAAAGTATAATAAATAAGTAATTGTACTCGTAGTTAATTTGAGAGGGCACATATATTTCTAACTAAACATTCGTATACATTTTCAAACAATAATTAATAGTGCTTATCACATAATATTTGTTCTGGTTGGGAATCGAACCCACGACCTCGGGCTTGACAGTCAGGATATCTAACCACTATAACAACAGACCCGTCCGTAAAATTAAGATTGTCAGTGTTCTAAGTTTGTCATTGCATAGTCAATATTAGAGCGGTTAAAATATGATCAACGGTTAAATGTCACTTTACTAAAAACAAATTCAAAACAATAACAGTACAAAAAATATTTTATTGACTTTGTATATGTCGTACATATAAGTGTAACATTAATTGTACATTGATACATTATAATCTTAAAGGTTCTAGCTAGGTTACGAGGTTTCTACACCTTACTATGTTATTAAAAATAATCAGACATATTTTTCTTATTAGAAATATATATTTTATTACTGGCACAACAAATTATTAAACATTAACAATTAAACATTTGTGGAGCGCATGATTGATTTATTCTCAATACCATTTTGCCATTACGAATAATAATTTGAGAATCAAATAACTTATTTAATTCTTCATACATACATAATGTCATGTTATTACAAGATCCAGTCTTAAAATATTTTATACAACGACCTAAAGTTATTTAAGTATATGTATTAAGAGATAGATAACAACTTTAACACAGCTTTACAAATAAATCTTATACTGAGGATAGGCGAACGACTTGAAAGGTTAATTACATGAACAACAGCATACCGAAGGTCAATTCTCGAAATCAAAATTCTGTTCCGATCTACACTCGATCTTACAAATGTCAAAAAGGTATTACAATATTAAACATCCAACGTCCAGGATTGGAAGTTGAATTGGTGTTCTGCTAGTCTCAGTAATACTTTACTACTAGAATACCTTTCGTGACATTTGTGAGATCGGAACTGAATTTAAACCGATTTTTTTATTTTTAGACAATAATTCTAAGAATTAAGAAACTAGCAAAAATAATGTTGACTAAGAAAACATTCTTCCAATTCCTAATGGATATATCTCGTCATAACACAGATCTATATGTGACAAGTTACACCACATTCTAAAAGAATGCCAATCAAACTAATTGTACAACTAGTACATCACTAAGAAATATGTACATAAAAAAAACTATTTTAATAATATAAAGTATAAAACACGTACGAATATTTTTTTAGCTTCACACTTACATTTACCTAAACATATATCAGAATGATGAATTATTTACTTTGTTATGTTTAGAAATAATTTTATTTAACTCATCAAATCAAATCATTTCTGTTGTGTGTGACTGTGACCATCTGAGATGTGTCTATATGAAGAGTTTGTCCAGTTTTCTTTCTCGTGACAAAAAGATGTTAGAATAATATTTGACTGGCAAATAAAATCAGTACCTAAAGTTTAAATTCAAGATTAAATATAGTTGTATCGTCTTGTTTCCCCAACACGACCATACGACTGACTTAAATGGCTTCTAAGACAAATTTTAATGCATGAAATATGACATTGCAGAGTTTGACTAAATTCGGATGAAATTGACAATGGATTCTAAGCGTTTCGAGGTTTTGATGTAAAAATCCGTTAAATACCTTCTAATTTCCGTTAAATACCTTGTATTGTACTTAGGTGTTTAATAATTTGTTTAATCAGTTTGTCTACATCAGTGTCGTAAGTAGTATTGGGGTTCAATAGAGAGCAACCAGGAGAACATTGTTTCTACCGTGTTCTCCTAGGTGGATTCTTAGTCAAAATAACGTTAAATTATATTTACCGCTAAATAAATAATGTTACTATATTGTTATAAAGCGGTAAATATGTTTTAATGGTATTTTTACTAAAAGTTTCAGTTTATTTAAAAAAGAGAAAATATTGGAAATGGTCGAAAGCCAGTACTTTCCTTAGACCACGTTTCGTAATAAACTGATTTCGAGATGTGGAATAAACTCATAATATATATACACTGATACTTTCAAGTAATTTGATTTAAACAAGAAAAATGAATTATCTTCTGTTCGTAATATAAATTTGGCTGCTTCAAAATTTTTATTTACCATTGCTCAACGGTAGGAGGAGCTGTTGGATTTTTTATCCATTATGTATTTCAAAATATCGTCAGTAGAAACTTTCGCCGCTGTTATAGGTTGACACATTTTGTTTGGCAGAGTTTTAAACAAGTCTCTTCTTTGTGAGTCATCTATAAGGGTCCTCCATTGATTGTTTTTCTGAAATAAGAAAAATGGAACCTTGCATAGTTTGTGGGAATATGGAGCAATGAAGAATCTGGACATTTCACTTATATATTTCGTACTTCAGCCTGTGACCACGGCCGGTGCAACCTGGTCGAAACGTCAGGCAAACCAGAGGTATGTAATACCCTAAATAAGAGATCGCGTTAATTCCCGTTAAATAATATTAATTATATATTTCGTTTTGAACAAAATATTGTATAAACAAAAGAGCTGTCTTTATGGTTCTTCTCTCTGGTTCTTGTTGTCTTGTTTTATTTTATTTAAACGAATATTACACAAACATAATAAATAACCCTTTCATAACTAGTCTTAAAACTAAGTATTTAAATGTAAGTGGTATTGATAGAAACACAAATAAGTAATGTCATACCAGCAAGGCAAAGGGGTTGAGGCAGATGATGAGTGAGTGTTTGGCGCGCGTGAGCATGACGTTCATACGGCCCGTGTCGGTGAGGAAGCCCACGCCCTGGCTGCGTGCCAGCGACACCACCACCACGTCTCGCTCCTGCCCTTGGAAGCTGTCTATCGTGTTCACCTCCACTTGTGGCTCGCCCCTTTTCAAACAAAAGTAAACATACTTAGCTAGCACCGTACCATAGAACACAAAAATGGGTAAATCGGGATTACATTGAAATAATGCTTATACTGACACATATACAGGGTTACTAGGTAAGTCAACCTAGATACCCTAAAGGGTTGTAGTAACCTAACCATTGCCAAGATATTGAACTTGATTTTTTATAAAAATACAATATTTTTAGAACTTATATCTTTTATTTTATGTTTTTTTTTTCTGTTTTTGTGTAGTTATATATAGATACATTGTTTAATAATTTGCATTACTAAAATTGTAATTAACAAACTGGGCGTAACGAAGTAGATGGTTAATAATAGCAAAAAGAAAAAAAATTGTAAACGTTTTTTCTTTGACGAATATTTAAAAAAATCTGACATTTAAACTGCAGTATGTACGTATTTTCAGTTATCTAACAAGGTATAATAGTCTAGGATGGTATTAGAATTCACAGGAAAAACTTAGATGAAAGACTGAAAGGCGTTAAGAATTAGGGTACAACATAGTACCTAGTTGAACACTTGTCTTGTATTTTTGGACTGTTTCGTTTTCTATTCGTGACTAACTATTGGCTAAGTGGACTTCGGTTTGTACTTCTGACACTGTTGGAGATGATGATGATGATGATTTCTTAAGGATACTGCTAATGCGTATCCGCACGGGGCTCGTGGATGAATACATAGCACTCTATCCCGGCCGTCAAGTGCCGGATGTTATCGTGCTGGACGGACCCTAAGTTTTCAACTAAGTTAACTAAGTTTAGTGAGGTTGTACGATAATTCTTAACTCCCGGTCTTTTATCTAAGTTTTTGGGCAGTATCCGTAACAAATGTTCGTGTGGCGACGGATTAAGAATACGGAGTGTCACCACCCCTATTTATCCCGTGGATATCGTAAGAGCCGACTAAGGGAACCAACTACGCAGGACAACAGCACTGCAAAAAGAAGGAAAACTTGAAACAAACCCTTTACCAACCCGCCTGGCCAGCGTGTTATAGTAGGCTAAAACCTCCTTTCTAAGAAGTGGCCTATGTCCAGCAGTGGGCTAATAAAGGCTGTTGATATAATACTATAGGGAATATACTTAATGTGTGACAGCTAATTGTATAAAAGGTTTCATTTTCCAGCAGAAAATTCCAATGATCCGAAGGCTCAGAATGATGGTCTGAACACATAATTTTAGTTTTCGTTACACAGTTCCTTACACCCTGTATATATCAAAATGTTAAGTTGGTTTGTGTACGCTTCAACAACTCAATAAGTTCTGCATCGATTGAGCTCAAACTTTGAGGCGATGTTTAAATCGCTTCAAAGACTGTTTGTATCTATTTTGCGCGTCAGTTTTGTTCCTCATTTGTCATCATGAATCAATGTTTGTATATAAAGATATTGGTTACGCGACTACATTGGGGACTATAAACAAAGGCTCCAACATTTCACCTTCACATTTGTATAACTCACAACTGACTGTAGAAGTCCGAAGCACGCACAACATGTGATTGTCATATTTTAATTGTTTTATCTGCATATAAATTCTTTAAAGGGAAATAAACGATCTTACTGATTATGTAACGTCTGGAGGTGTTTTTTGATAAGATCTTTGTGTGCGTTATAAGGCGTGATGACAGCAAGGTTGAGCCTGAGCGGCCGTAGGAATATGTCCAGTGCCATCACCAGTCTCGTCACGCCCCACGCCTCCATTTCATTTGCACCTGATATACCTGGAAGACCATGAAACAACAAAAATAATAGGATGAGTTTTACACATAGATATGGGGGGGACACCGGCAACTCAAGAGTGATAAGTGCGTTGCCGTTCAAGAGGGGGGAGGGGAGGGGGTTTGGGGATTTCGGTAACCTCACTCACTCAGTGAAAAGCAACGAAAGAATTGTTTAATATTGGTTTTCTGTGAGGCCATGACATCACTCCCGTCGGGACAACCCATACAGGCCGAAGCATAGCTTTCACGGTGTAAACCACATGTCACAGTCGCTCACATCACCGTGCACACTCGCTTATCATCGAGAAAGATGTTCAAAAGCATGCCATTGTTTACACGACTAGATTATTACTCGACGATTATTATTTAATTACTCGATTATTACGCGTACGATTTTCAGCTCTATTTTAATGCAATAAGCGTTATATTATAATCATATTTCAAGTGCTTTGTCAACCCATTTCAGTTGACCCTAAGGCTATTGTTACGTGTTGTGGTTCGTTACTTGAAATAAAATACCTGCTCTTTAAGAGACTTAATTTACTAACACACACTATTGTAGTTGAAAATGATCGCCGATCACTTTGAAGTTTATCTATCAGTAGCTCAAACTGAACTGCCTGACCAGCGAAGACGTGGCTCTATTTATACTCGCTCACTAGACCGAAACGTATATCACAACGAAGTTATCCCAGTAACATCATTTCATTATGTAACGTGTTATAAGTGCTTAATTTACTTCCAAAATATACATTTTTTTAACAAAATTATTAGATCTATAATATTTGAATGTAGTAATATTATGACAGATACCTTGTCCTTTATCCCCGCTGGTAATGCCGACGATGATGTAAGGTGGTAAAGCGAGATCGGGCCTGGAGGGGGGGATGGTCTGTACCATGCCACCGTAGAAGGCTCGGCTCGGGTAATCCGCGATATCGGGATGCATGCGGTATTGTTGATTGAGCATAATGACTGGACTACCTATGGTCCAATCATCTGTGTTAGATGATAGGCGCGAAAATAAGCTTTCGCTCAATCCATGCTTTTTTGCACGCTGTGAAAATAAATTTATAAATATTGGATTTTTCTATATAGCAGTAATTTCCTAGAAAACTACTATCGCAGATCACACATACACATTATGCCTTTGACTTCTATGTATTCAAAACAAAAATATACTTCAGTGCCATCTATCTTAGACAATCGGAACTAGCAAGTAACTACCAATCCTGTATCGCGAAATGAAAGTTCTCGCGGGAATCGAAAGAATTTTTACACAACCTTCCGACATCAACCGTTGGATCTGCTGCTGCTGAAAATGCTTTTTCTAATTTCTGGTGTACGTATATACTTCTAAACTACACATTATTTATTTTCATCTCTAACAAATCAGAAACAAATCACTAAATAGTACCTATAATTCAATTTTTAGGATCTATTTGCCTAAATTTTTAGCGGTTTACGTGATTCACGTTCACGGTTTACGTGTTTACTACACAACCGTACAGAAAATGACGCCATAAGATGACGCTAGCTAGTACCTGTGAGCATATGAAGCCGGGCAGTTGCTGCGGATCACCAATAAGCGTGAGCTTGGTCACGTCAAGTGTGAGTGGGATCAGTGTCTCCGGTTCTATCACTTGTCCCGCTTCGTCAATTATGCATAGAGCTATTCGACGTTTCAACCTAAAAAAAAACATCACAATATTACTTCTTATTCAACACGTGATTCATATTACATTAGTTTTATATGGTCAAAAAATGTCACGCTTATATTAGTAAAGTTTCTCTGAGGACAGTGATTTGTTCCAACATTTTGTGAATGTGTTAGAATAAATTCATCTTATTTAAACCACCGAACTTTTAAGACCACGCTATAAATAATATTACATAAATGAAAAAAAAAATCGGTAATAAAGCCGTACTTTTTAAATGCTTATTTTAATTTGTTAAAAACCGTTTTTAGGGATCTAGATTGTCTTGGACAATCTTTACTTTTCTTTACTAATATGTAATAGAGGAAAATGCGATAACGTCCCCTGTCAAATTAACGGCTCAATTAGATATTTTTTTTTTAGAACAATGATGTCAAGTATCACTTACGCGCTACGGGAAGCCCATATGTGCTGTTTGTTATAAAATTAGTACTATAAATAAATCCGTGAGATGGCGTTACGTTCTTTTATTATATAAACAAATCGAAACGCAACTATCAAAACCGTTCTGCATATTATTCAAACTTAGTAGATGAACTAAGTTTTCCATTTCGTGATTTGGACATTGTGTTTGAGAACTGTTTCTTTATTGGTTTTTGAAGGTAATTAATTTATCATTCTATAGCATTTGATTCATATTTACATCATGGTTCGTTTATAATATTCTTAACGCATGTAAATTGACCCTTCACAATGTTAGTATGTCAGTCCCGTCGTCTTAGACTTAATCGAGTTGGAGTGGGAATCATGCTAACCAAGAAGACGTCACAGTCGAGTCTGACTGTGAAGACAATGTCAATCTAGGTAGGATAACTGAAAGTTTAAAGTTGTTAATTAATTTTATAATATGACACCCAAGGGGAGACATAACCCTCACTAGATCTCAAGATGCCAAATATGTTCAAAATAAATATGGTTTCGACTATTAGGTAGTCACTTCATTTACTCCGATTTGTAAATAAATAGCAATTTAACAATTTATTTTTAAATCTTTTAATTTACGTATGTATTAACAAAAAAAAGTATACAAGTATTCTATCAGTCAATCTAGGTTTCATAGTAGAAGCTCTGCTTAGTTTGAAACTAGATGGCGTTGTTGTTAGACGTCCGAAAATATTATTATTATTATTCATGGATGAGACCTCAAAAACAAACTAGAGGCCACAATACCACATTTTCGTCTTACAATAATTAAGATTTTACAGAAAAGGACTAGACCTTTATAGACAGATCGATCGAAAAATCTACGTGAAACTGCGGGCAAAAACTGTATATAATATATAGAGGAAAGCGGCGAACCCCTTCATCTTGTAGTTATTCGCGCTGGCGAGCGTGGTGACGATGATGTCGGCGCCCTCGATGATGCGTCGCTCGGAGGCGGCCAGCTGCTCCGGCCGCGGCGGCCCGCCCGCCTCGCCCGCCACCGCACCGCCGCCGCCCCGCAGCTGACAGTTCATACCGGATGTATCAATTTAATATGCCCTCGAGGGCCCTCATTAATTTAGTCTGAGTCTGCCTTTTATTAATTCACCCTTTGGCGCCTATATTTACCCTTTTTAGAGACTATTAATTGGCATAGGAAAAGATAAAGAATTTTAATTTCCCGTGGGGGAGCCGTGCTTCGGCTTACCACGGTCTCACAGAAAACATAGTAAGTGAGGCTACCGCGGCCCAACCGCATCTCCTCCTATTGGGAGGCTTTAGGGGGGTAACGCACTCTGTAGCTCTGAGTTGCAGGTGTCCGCGGGAGGCGTTAGTAACTAACTATCAGGTGACCCGTAAGCTCGTTTGCTTCTTTACCATAAAAAAAATACTGCCGAAGTTGAGCCGCATGGTGCCGTCTATTATCGAGTAGTAAAACTATTTAAAGATTCCTAAAAACTTTTTATTTATTTTACAGTATCCACGATGTTAGTCAGTCCGGTTATTACCAAATTCTTCGAAAGAGTTCGGGAACGTTCGGTATTAGTCCGAACAATTTGTCGGAGCATTCTCCATGATACAAGCGAATTTGAACGTGCACAAACTATAGATGACATCGCAAATCGTCACAAGAGTAACAGGGGGTTAAAATGTGTATTTTTTAAGTCTGACCTCGTGCTGCCGTCAATATTTATATGTTTTCCAAATTGTTATTATTATGATTTAAATATAAAATGTATCACCAACGTGGCCACAACTGTTTAAAGACCAAAAACTCTTAAAGGCATGTCTTAGAAGTAGAAGAAACAGTTAAGAATCATGAAAACGCAGTAATAACTAGCAAAATTGTAGCTCTAATATAGTTTTCTAATGTTTTATGATGACATAATAACATTAAAGTATTTTTGAATTCGCTTATCACGTAACCATGAACAATGTAATAGGACTTTACGCTAATTGACTAATATCTTTCTTTAAAGTGTTTGAGCATCCAAAAATGCAACAATACATTTTTACGGAGTTTCATCTTATCTTTTATTGTGATTATTTTATAACGTGAAGTGTCAATGTCAAGAATTGTTAGCTCATAACATTCGGATATTCCTCAGCACTGCCCCGATTCAGTAAGGCAGCGTTTTCAGAACACACGATTTCAATTGGAAAAGTTTAAATTTGATATTCATTGTGATATGTCAAATGATATTCAAATCGATACAAATTGTCTCTAGTGAATACCTAAGTATTATTATATTAGTCGGTTTGTTTTCAAAAACGTACGTACGGTTTCAAAACTGCACGTATTGGAAACGAAATTTTTTAGAATCTGGGCCCAGGATGTAGTCTTGGTCGCACACTCTCCCTGTGGAGAATGCAGTGTGAAGCTACATCTCTACGCAACGCCGAGGGGTCAAGACAATCGGAAAAAAATCTGGCAATAGATGATTCGAGTCGCTCTCCAGTGGAATGAATGATCGATGAGTCTAGAGAGAGAAGCGTGGTTTATTGGTTGAATGATATTATTGGTTGTTAGGTGATACCCTCGGTTATCCTCACAAAACGATTTCACTAACCTAACATTAAGACCGCCAATGTACAGGACTACTCATAGTTGTAGCACAAAGTGAAACAGTACGAGTACCTACTTAAATAATATTTCATCCGTGTAGTGACGGATGAAGAATACAGTGTCATCACCCCTATTCCTCCCAAGAGTGGTTTCGTAAGAGCCGACTAAGGGAGCAAACTACGCCGAACAACAATCCTATAACAAATGGTCTGACCAGTGTGGTATAGTAGACCAAAACCTACTTTCTAAGGAGAGGCCTATGTCCAGCAGTGGACTATTAGAGGCTGTTCATGATGTTTATGTGATGCAATAGTATTTACCAGTGTTATCCTTTTGATGAGATCAGCAACTCGACCTTGGCAGTACGCTATACGAACCGGATCTTTGGCTTCATTTTTTGCAGTCTTCCACATGTTTATTTTAGCTTCTAGGTGTGCGATCTGCAAATACAATATTGTATTACGTTAGCTCCTAATTCACAGCTTTCTTACAACAGAACATATTTTGTCAAACGCCAATTGAAACCACCTTATTGCGGAGTCCGATATATAGACGCCGAAGGAGAGGTCTTTGTCCAGCAGTGGACTATGGACAGTCTTCATCATCATCATATCTTCAACCAATTCAGTTAGTGCTGTGTATATATGTAGTGACGCGACATAACGCATACATTTACAATAAATGATTTTTTTGTTGTTTCATTATTAAAGTAGAGGAGGATTCGTTGCTTCCAGATCTTAGTGTAGACCTTAGACGCAAATCTAGAAGTTGGATGCGTTAATGCAATAGACGCAGTTGTTTACCGTTCTAATTATAAAACAGAAACAAACCCAATATCTCCCTTCCTGTTGCTTTTTGATATGAATCGGCAGTTTATGACATCAAATGTTTTCAGGAAACTTACTGTCGGTTTATGAGTATAATATTAGTTGACTGTCTTTTTGCTATTTGTATAATTTTTATGTATGTAGAATCAAAAAAGTTTTTGGAAAATAACTCTAAATACGATATTAAATAAAAAAAAAAAATTTTACTACATTCACACAACACCATCTAGTCCCAAACTAAGCAGAGCTTGTACTATGGGTACTAGACAACTGATATAAATACATATATAGCTACTTTTTTTTTGTGTAAATACATACATATTATACATAGAAACATCAAGACCAAATCAAAAATTAAATGTTCATGCACACAAATATTTGTCTTGAAAGGGTATTGAACCCGCGGTCTTTGGCGTAGCAGTCCGTTACGCAAACCACTACGCCATATATATTACTATATAAATAGCGGTAGCATATTTTACTGTAACTTTAGGGGTCGCTGGTTTGATCTGTAGCTAACAATATCTATTTCTAGTAGGTGCTTTTATTTAAACTATGCATATACTTATTATAATTATCTTAGGTACAAAATGTTTTGTAAGCATGGATATTCGTGTCTCAAATTCAGCACAATAGACAATATGGGACTTTACAAACATACATGAAACGGACACAAAGAACAAGACAGACTCAGATTTACACTTCGGACCCACAACACTCATTGCAGTAGGAAGCGGCGAAGTGACCGCTTAGACCACTACGAGATTCGTGCAGTAAAAGTAGGTATATCCCATCACCTAAATAAGCACGTACCTCTTCGTTTAGTCCTGCTGTGGTAGGCGGCTGTTCGTTGATGCGAGTGAGTTCGCGGTGCGCGAGTTGCTGTGAACTAATGTTGGCGGCCACCGCGTGCATGGCTTCCGCGCGACCAACCCGTACCATGCGAAATCGTTCCGCTAATAGACAAAACATACTTTTAGTAGTGTCTATTATATCTGTACCTACGTGTTGGTCCGTACCATGTATTTTGAGCTTTTGTCGCCACCGTGTTAAAAGCAGTAGCAAAATAATCAGTAGTATAAAATGATAATTTATACAGTGGTTACCATGATCCAATTAATACACAATAAATGGGCCTGACTTCAGGTCATAACCCCCATTACTAAGTTAGCAATATAAAAATAATGGTATTGCATACCTACATTGAAAGATAATTAAGACTAGGTAAAAAAAAAATACTTTTTATTACTCGTTTAGCCACGTAAGAACACATAGGCCAAGGCAAAGATCCTTCGGTCACTATTTCAATGGCGTAAGGAGCAGACCCTGAAACGAGCTGCTCAGGTATTGGTCTCAGCGCCGTTAGGTCCTAATGGTGACGTGGAAAGAGCGACTTGAAAGACCTGACGCAGAACACGCCACAATTTCGGCTGTAAAACCCAACAGAAGGATTGGCTGCAGAGGCAGCTCGGCTACCTATCGCACCGATTGATACAGGTACTGGCCGGTAACTGCTGTTTCGGAAAATACTTGTGTCGTATTGGCTGGGAGCCAACGTCTGCGTGCCATCAATGAGAAGGCTAAATTATTTTTTTCCGTGCGGAAATCCTCTCGGATACCACCTATCGGTGGCAAGTCGGACTCGAACCGACTAAAACCGCAAGCCGTCTCGGGTACTAATAGCCGGGGAACCAGGTATACCCTAGAAAGGAAGTCCCTGGTGCCCCGACATACCTCGGGCCATCTACAACAACAGGTAGACGACCCCCCCCCGTGTGGGAACCCCATGTTGCCTCTGCTCCCTGGAAGCGGTAAATTTAATACTACTAGGCCAAGTGTTAAATACTTATAAAGTTATTTTTAACATAATATTTTCATACTCACGTTTAGGTAAACTCTGCCTCAAGTTTAATAATCTAATGACTAGTCCGTCAACAGCAGCATTACTCGTTGCACATATCAGTATTTTGCCCCTGTTCTGATGCTTTTTACCTTGTGAACTGTAGAAGTACGTCATGGCTATTGCACATATGACACTGGATTTACCTGGTCAAATAGAAGCATTATAAATGTTTTTTCTTATGTCAACATTCCTTTAAGATCATTGTAAACAATGATCATAAAGGAATGTTTGAAACTAGGTATATTAGTGAAACATTTCAAGCCAACAGCATGCAGCTGTTGGCACAGCAGAGCAACTGCTCAAAGAAAACATTTATAGTCAAATAGTTAATAACTGCACAGAAATATTGTAGTAACCTGTGCCGGGTGGTCCCTGTACCATCTGTATAGAAGGTTTGTCACTGAGCGCCGCGGCCACTGACGAACTCACCGCCCTCAGCTGACTTGGGTTTAAAGTCGCAGTCCACTGCAACATTGGAACATTAAGTTAGCAAATTGATAGAAGCGAAGAAATTTAAACATCTGGATTTCTTGGAAATATTTAATAGCAATCTGTTTTTAAAAAATTGCTGTAATAAATAAGTTTATCTGTGTCCTAAATCCTGTTTTTAATAAGTGGAAATATATTCGCCAGCATCTAAAGGTTACAATAATACTGTGATTTAAGGTGTACAGCTTTTTCGTAATAATATTTTGGTTACATTAAAAAAAAAGAACGAGGGGTTAAGGTTACATTATAGAGCATAATTTAATTATTATTTATGTGTAATAATAATAATGTTAAACAAGGTAACTAAAAGTCATAAAACTAGTAGTGTAGAACATAGTCAATAAAGACCCTTATGAGCGACTGGTATCTTATCTCTACTCTCTCTCTTATCTTTTCTCTTAGAGAACAGTATATGTTTTTTGCAAATTGAATAATATACATATGTGTGCGAGTATGTGTGTGCTCAGCTCTTGGATGAAAGAAGTGAAGAAAATGCATTACTTGTAGCACTGCTTTTAGAGCTCGGTATAACGTAATCATATATAGATATTTTCGAAACTCGTCCGCACCAAAAAAAATATTGATTTTTATAGGCAATATTGCAATGATCGACAGTGCTACGAAATCATCTTCGAAGCAATCGCTTATCTGTTAGTAATGTCCTAAATTTATATTTAATCTTACAGCGAAATTATAAAATATAATAAACACAATTTTAATTGGATAAATTTTGTCAACATATAGAGAGAAAACATTAACCTACCTGTGACTTTGGGTTAACTATCTGATTGTTATGATCACTAATAAAATGATGTGGTTCTGGTCTTAATATGGCATCACTGAGAGGAGATCCTGCAAGGTATTCCATGGCTTCGAACAACATTAGTTCCTTCTTGATATATGCTAAACTCGTTCCAATGATTATGCCACCTGGCCTTAGTGACATCATTTTTTCTGTGACAGTTGCATGCAAGGATATGCTGTAAAAGTGCTTTGTTTGGCCTGAAACATTAATAAACATGTTGGGTTGCCTGTTTTAGATCTTGAAGACTTAGAATAATAATAGTATTATGGTCATCCTAAGTTGACATAATTATGTAGAACTAATTGAATGTTTCAATACAAGTCCAAACATTCATGTAATAAAAAATTGGCGAATAGTACAATCGAATATCAGTATTCTTTATTTACAATTCCACAATGTAACTGAGTAACTGTATTAGTGAGAATTGTTGTTAATGGATGGTAAGGCAATGAAATTGATTAGTGACATTATCAGGTTTAGTCAATATATTTATTCTTTTGGAACTGAAGAACCACAATTTTTCAGTAGATATTAATGTAGTTTCCTATATGTAAATCGATCTAAGTGGCGTGCAAATGGAGAGGCCTATGTCCATCAGTGGGCTACGATAGGCTGACGACGATGATGAAATAAGTGGATATTTATTTAGTTATACTTCCTGCAAATACATTGCATAAGGCGGACATGTTCCTATTAAAGCAAGGGATGCTTTCTATTTTACCTAAATTATAAAAATAGGACTTCATCCTAACTTACTAACTTTACAAATGCAAATGAATTTGTTTGTTACGCGTCCACGCCTTAACTGATAATCACACACTTCTGAAGGAAGAAGCAAAGAGAAGGAAAACTTGAAACAAACCTTATACCAACCCGTCTGGCCAGCGCGATATAGTAGGCCAAAACCTCCTTTCCAAGGAGAGGCCTAGGTCGAGAGGTGGACTATTAAAGGCTGGTGATGATGATGATGATGATGACACACTTTTGCATTTTATAATATAAACTAGCGATCCGCCCCGGCTTCGCAAGGGTGCACTGTAGATACTGCTAATGTAATGTCAGTGTAGAGTAAATAGGTGTACTATTATTATAATAAGACTATACTACAGGACATCTTTATATGCAATATTTATAGGCACGACTCGACACGGCGACGGCTACTTTGCCCCTTAATTTTAAATCTCTGATATGTACTAAGATATTCCTTGATGCTGGCAAATGCAATTTTGATCTACATTAAATTCACAACACAGCTAACGTATTTATTTGGATAAGAAATAATACTGTATTGTTCAAAATACTTTCGTAAATATATTTTTGTAATATGTTAAAGATAAAAATGGTTACTGTGAGTGATCCTTATGTGAGATATTTTTTTATAGTTGTTTTTTAAGATATACAATTCCGTAGTACTTTATTTTGTTCTATCTCGTAAGGTTTAGCCAGCGTTTGCAATGTAGGCGTACAAAAATATGTTTTTTACGACTCAAATTACAAATCATTGAAATTCTCGGATTTCTTCTACTATAATATGCATGGATTATACCTATAAACCCACCTCTTGAATAACTCTATTGGTGAAAACCGCATTAAAATCCGTTGCGTAGTTTTAAAGGACCTAAGCGTACAAGAAAAAAAGGCGACTTCATTTTATACTATGTAAAGATGTAAGTTAGGATGTTAGCATTATTTTTATTTAATTGAATGAATTTGATAATCATTACAGAAGGTATCTCACTAGGTCAGTGATCCCTTTAGAGATGACCATTTAAGATAATGGAATACTATCGTGACAGATATTGATTAACGAGTGAAATATCAATAAATTAAGGAATTTATGAGTATTAGCATGCCTTAACTCATTTAATCAAGTCAACATTCAAGTCACAAATATCTTCTAAACGTCAGCTGCAGAATCTTAGCCTAGACCTTTGGTAGGGAATCTAATGCCCTTTCAAAAATATAGGATACTAGGGCCTGTTACACGCGACTTCGTAAGCTTGAATACCAACTAACATTAAACCTTTAACTAAGAAACATTTTTTAAAAGAAATTACTTCTATTTTACATACCATTCGTAAATTGACGGCCAACTTGTAGTTTTGAAAGTTAGATGTTTTGTAAATAAGTCTCTAAGTACAAAAAACCAAGAATTATCGTCTAAACTTACGAGAGCCCTTAGACCCCATAAACGGCCATGTCGGAAAATATGTTCTTAACTGACGTCCCCGTCTCATAAACCTCTCATATCTTTTATTTACAGGTACAATAGTTTATCAATTATTTTGCTTAGATTCAGGAATATCAGGAGCAGATGAAACGAAAGCGCCGGGCGTAACGAGACTGGTGATAGCACTGTACATATTTCTCTTTCTAAGGTATAATTATGAATTTGTAATACTTGTTCTCTTGCGCGTGGTTCGCAACTTGTTAATTTTAAATTGCATTAAGGCTGCATAATTTGTTTCCCAGAGTGGTTTTTTTTCAGACCCAGACAAGGTCTGCCAGGGTATTCAGGTACTGCCATTTACCGCAATAAATACCGAATATGACTGTATTTTGAATTTTTTTACATTTTGTGAAACAGAAAATTAAGATCATGGTTTCAAGCACACGCATAGCCATATTATAGTTTTTTGACGTGAATACGTCTTTACAATTGCTTTCATACTGGGAGGCAATTGATTACAAAAAAAACGAATGATAACAAAACAGTTTGTTATGCGTTTACCATCGGTCATTGCTTTACTTCTAAATCTGAGGCCTCGTTTTTTCTTTGACCTCCTGAGGAATCCAGCCCCATATTTTTATGACGTTGTGGTATTTTTAAGCAAAATGTTCTATTAGAATTTAGAATAACGATTTATATTCACACTGATAAAATAAATGATCTGAACTGACTGGTTCTTGTTACATTTAGAATAAGGATCATATTTAGGTATGAGTGAAAATTACAATTAACAAGGTACTTACCTGGAGCCGCAGGTAGATATCTTATATTGTGCACAAAGAAAAATCTCTGACGTTTAACATTATCTGATTCAAAAGTAACAAGCATTATTTCTCCAACTCTTGGGAGGTTATTCGTTTCCGATGGAAGTAATGAAACTGAAAACAATATAAATATATATAAAACAGCAAAGAACTAATTTAGTCTACTGTGTACAAATAGTGTACAACTATTATTTATTACTTACCATTTACACTTAAATTGAATAATTCAAAGCAGCGCTCTTGTGTAGGTATTGGCGGTAACGTTTCTATTCTCATTTGTAATCCATTATTTTGATTTCTTGTTTTCATATATGCTATTGTCAGGCATTCCCAAATTTCCATTAGAAGCAAATCACCTACCAACCTTTGTGAAAATAATGGGTTTAAAATAATATTACATTATTTATTGTTCAGCGTATCAATGTCTTATTGTGTAAGTTAGTTGCGAATAAACACTTGAAGCTAACACACGTTGTTTCCTTGTAATAATTGTGAAGACGCGATATTAGACCTTATAAAATCTACACAACGTTCATAGTGTGGTCCTTCGAGCCGGATTTTTCTTCGTTGATTGCTTTAGAGTAATTATTTTAAGGATAGTTATATTTTTACTTAATACTTTTATATAAAAACGTATTTCTTAATTGAAAGGGTTATATCTCTTTTGGTGGGCGGCATGTTCAGCGTATCAAGTGTTTATATATATATATCATAATAAAAAGAAAGAGAGAATAGACATTGTAAATTGTGTAAATAAGGAGATTAAAACAAGACCAAGAAATATCAAGTAGACTTCACTCATATATCATCATATGAAACAAGTTTATACTCAATTACTAGGTCTATTACTTGTCATCAATCAGATAAAAGCCTTAAATTGTTTTATGAGAATAATGTAAAATTTTGTTTTAACTTTTAAGGAACTTTTCTCTGTTAAAACGTGTAAAACTTTGATTGCAATAAGAATGGACTTTAAATTTAATTTTAATACAATAATTTTAACTTACTGTACATATTGATTGTGATTCACAAAAGAGTGGAAAAGGGTCATTGGGGTGTTATTATGACCCAGAATAGGTGGTGGGTCATTATTATTTAGTTGTTCTTCTAGCCAATGAGGGTTCCAGCGCAATATTTTCATTAGCGTTATTTTCTCTAATGAAAACACAGGAGTTTGCCGAATATCTACCAGTGTAGTTTTTACTAAGCTAGTCTTTTTCAGTTTGTTACCAGGTTCTATTTCAAATACACGAACTTGTGGTGGTTCTTGTGAAAAGCGCACTTTCTTTTTTAGTTTTTCTGAAGGCATGGGCCCCACTTTTGAAATAGGTTTTCCTGAATATGATTCTTCACTATCAGTTAAGGGCCTCAAATTTTTAAGAGGCACTCTTACTTCTTGTTCAACATCATTAAAGATTTTGGACGATTTACTTTCTTTTTTTTGTTTTAATCCTTTACCCTTTCCTTTGTTTGATCTATCTTTCTCATGTTTTCCTCTATTTTCCAGATCTTCTGTAAGTTCTTTGCTTATAGATTCTGTGACTTTAGGAGATTCTGAAATTTTATCTTTACTTTTATTTAGGTTTTCTTTCCGTTTTACTGGCTTTACTACAGCTTGCACTACTTCAGTAAGAAAGGCTCCTCGGTTGGTAGAAGTAACCTTTACATTTGTGCTAGGTTTATTAGTTTCTATTGACTCTCTGTTAGATTTTGTTTCATTATCTTTGACTTTCAATGCTATTTCTTTAAGTTTTTTTTTACGTTCTTCTTTCTGAGTTGTTGATGGTTGTTTTTTAGAATGTGACTTCTCAACTTTACTGCTAGTGAGTTTTGATGTAGATTGTTTTGTTTTAGCTTGAGCTAGTTGACAAAAAAAATACTTTAAAACTAAATTAAGCTTTAGAATTCAAAATATAGACTTAAGAGAAATGAGCTTCGAGTGGGCCACTCGAACCCCAGTCGAAGCTACTGGACCTTTAAAGCTCGAGCTCTAAGGACTCGCGAGTCTTAACGGTTCGAACCTTAAGGGTTCGGGTTTTCAAGGCTCGAGTCTACAAGGCTAGAGTCAAAGCTCGAGCTTCGTTTGTTTAGCAATCTACCGTATTGGTGTGAGTCATAATCGCAAGCGTAGTTCTCAGATTGGCCTAAATTTATTGCAGTTATTTGGTACCTTCTGTGTACTTTTAAGTCCCTTTTGCGAAAATCTGTGTACCTGCGGCCGTATAATGATATTTTAAAAATTAGGTACACTCGCCAACCTGATGTCAGAACTGCGGCTGTACTGTTAACCAATATATTATTATGTAGCTTAGTACTGTTTAAGTAGATTTGGTAACTCTTGTGTACCTGCAGAAACAAGCATGTAGTAAACAAGTAAAATCATTTAAAAAAAGTTTAACCGACATCAAACAATACTAATAAAGAGCACTAAAACCTAGCAGCAATTGCGATGCTGTTATTTTATGAAGAGTTTCGTTGTCTGTCTCCGAAACTCATCATCAGATCTGTATGAAATTTAAATGAAACATTTCGTAATAAACGTCTTTCGAACAAAAAAATAATTTTGCAAATCCGCCTATATATGAAGGAGTTATGCCCGAACATACATAAAAAAAACAACCCAATTAATAACCTTTTTGAAGTCGGTTAATGAAATACTTTCTAAGAAAATTAAGAAACTTTTTTTTTTTTTTAACATTGTGACTATTAAAAAAAAAGAAAAACAGTATTTAGGTCCATGTTTAAAGCAGTTTCTGGATTCAATTCCTGGTATGGACACAGTAGTACATGTTTAATTTGGAGGTTTTAAGTTTGATTACCGAAGATTGTTCTTTTTTATCGGCGAAAAAAAAAAACGTTTTCTTTCTTTGACAATTATTTTATAAAATTTATTAAATTTAGCCCAATCTGAGAAATACACCGCGATCCTGACACACCCGTAATGCGTTCCATCAGAATATTTTATATTAATAATCTATACAAATAAATAAAATTCAAGTATCTGTTTGTAATGTCAAAATAATTGGTTTTTTAATGCTCACATGGTTATTTCCGAGATACATATGTCTAAAAACCAGTTCAAATATTTTTTATCTGTCTGTCTGTCTGTTTATGTCTAGTAATCTTTTAAACGGCTGGTCCGATTTAGATAATATTTTACTACCAGGTAGCTATCTATATATCAACCGTCGGGCCAGCGTGGTATAGTAGGCCAAAACCTCCTTTCTAAGGAGAGGCTTATGTCCAGCAGTGGACTATTAAAGGCTGTTGATGATGAGCTATCTATATAAGAAGTACCTTAAGCTATTTTTCCTCTGAGAAAAACCCTTTAATATTATACTGGAACATAATGAAACGTTACGTCCGTGCTGGCGACTAGTGTTCCTAGTAAACAAGTTTTTTTTAGACCGGTAAGTAATTTAATTACTGAAAAAATGAACAGATTCATGATTGATTTTATTATTAAATTAATTAGTCAAGTGACTTTTATTGGCCACCATATCATAATGAGTTTTAAAGGCAGAACTCAAGCTTACACTCGAATTTGCATAGAGGCACACGGCTCGCGTCGATGAAGCTGAAGCTAGCCGACGGACATAGCCTGCGTAGTATATGGCACGTCCCTCAAATTCATTTAATACTAAAAATTATAACTTTTCTGCCAACGTAAAAGTGATTTGGTATTATTGTATGATACTTAGGCATTAACTATAAAAAATTTGAAAGCAATCCTATTTTTGTGAATCGAGTTACAGCAGGTTTTTGATCGAAATTCAGTATCTATTTTTTGTTAGTTACGTACGTTTACTCATTAATTGTGTTAATTCTATGTTTTCTGCCAACGTAAAACTTATTTAGTATTATTGTATGATACTTAGGCATTAACTATACAAAATTTGAAAGCAATCCTATTGTTGTGAACAGAGTTATATCAGATTTTTCGTCGAATCGTTCAATTTATCGTAAGTCGTGTCTGATTGTTCATTTAATAATAAAAATTATAACTTTTCTGCCAACGTAAATGTAATTTCGTATTATTGTATGATACTTAAGGATTAACTATACAAAATTTGAAAGCAATCCTATTTTTGTGAATCGAGTTACAGCAGGTTTTTTATCGACATTCATTATTTTTTGTTGGTTAAGTACGTTTACTCGTTAATTTTGTTTTCTGCCAACGTAAAACCTATTTAGTATTATTGTACGACTCTTATGGATAAACTTTAAAAAATTAGGAAGCAATCCTATTGTTGTAAATAGAGTTACATCAGGTTTTTCGTCGAATCGGTCAATTTATCGTAGGTCATGACTGATTGTTCATTTAATAATAAAAATTATAACTTTTCTGCCAACGTAAAAGTAATTTGGTATTATTGTATGATACTTAGGCATTAACTATACAAAATTTGAAAGCAATCCTATTGTTGTGAACAGAGTTACATCAGGTTTTTCGTCGAATCGGTCAATTTATCGTAAGTCGTGTCTGATTGTTCATTTAATAATAAATAATATAACTTTTCTGCCAACGTAAAACCTATTTAATATTATTGTACGATACGTAGGCATAAACTATACAAAATTTGAAAGCAATCCTATTGTTGTGAACAGAGTTATATCAGATTTTTCGTCGAATCGTTCAATTTATCGTAACTCGTGTCTGATTGTTCATTTGATAATAAAAATTATAACTTTTCTGCCAACGTAAAAGTAATTTGGTATTATTGTATGATACTTAGGCATTAACTATACAAAATTTGAAAGCAATCCTATTTTTGTGAATCGAGTTACAGCAGGTTTTTGATCGAAATTCAGTATTTTTGTTAGTTACGTACGTTTACTCATTAATTGCGTTAAGTCTATTTTTTCTGCCAACGTAAAACCTATTTAGTATTATTGTACGATACGTAGGCATAAACTATACACAATTAGGAAGCAATCCTATTGTTGTAAATAGAGTTACATCAGGTTTTTCGTCGAATCGGTCAATTTATCGTAGGTCATGACTGATTGTTCATTTAATAATAAAAATTATAACTTTTCTGCCAACGTAAAAGTAATTTGGTATTATTGTATGATACTTAGGCATTAACTATACAAAATTTGAAAGCAATCCTATTGTTGTGAACAGAGTTATATCAGATTTTTCGTCGAATCGTTCAATTTATCGTAAGTCGTGTCTGATTGTTCATTTAATAATAAATAATATAACTTTTCTGCCAACGTAAAACCTATTTAATATTATTGTACGATACGTAGGCATAAACTATACAAAATTTGAAAGCAATCCTATTGTTGTGAACAGAGTTATATCAGATTTTTCGTCGAATCGTTCAATTTATCGTAACTCGTGTCTGATTGTTCATTTGATAATAAAAATTATAACTTTTCTGCCAACGTAAAAGTAATTTGGTATTATTGTATGATACTTAGGCATTAACTATACAAAATTTGAAAGCAATCCTATTTTTGTGAATCGAGTTACAGCAGGTTTTTGATCGAAATTCAGTATTTTTGTTAGTTACGTACGTTTACTCATTAATTGCGTTAAGTCTATTTTTTCTGCCAACGTAAAACCTATTTAGTATTATTGTACGATACGTAGGCATAAACTATACAAAATTAGAAAGCAATCCTATTGTTGTGAACAGAGTTACATCAGGTTTTTCGTCGAATCGGTCAATTTATCGTAAGTCATGTCTGATTGGTTATTTAATAATAAAAATTAAAACTTTTCTGCCAACGTAAAAGTAATTTGGTATTATTGTGTAATACTTAGGCATTAACTATACAAAATTTGAAAGCAATCCTATTTTTGTGAATCGAGTTACAGCAGGTTTTTTATCGAAATTCAGTATTTTTGTTAGTTACGTACGTTTACTCATTAATTGTGTTAAGTCTATTTTTTCTGCCAACGTAAAACCTATTTAGTATTATTGTACGATACGTAGGCATAAACTATACAAAATTAGGAAGCAATCCTATTGTTGTGAACAGAGTTACATCAGGTTTTTCGTCGAATCGGTCAATTTATCGTAAGTCGTGTCTGATTGTTCATTTAATAATAAATAATATAACTTTTCTGCCAACGTAAAACCTATTTAATATTATTTTACGATACGTAGGCATAAACTATACAAAATTTGAAAGCAATCCTATTGTTGTGAACAGAGTTATATCAGATTTTTCGTCGAATCGTTCAATTTATCGTAACTCGTGTCTGATTGTTCATTTGATAATAAAAATTATAACTTTTCTGCCAACGTAAAAGTAATTTGGTATTATTGTATGATACTTAGGCATTAACTATACAAAATTTGAAAGCAATCCTATTTTTGTGAATCGAGTTACAGCAGGTTTTTGATCGAAATTCAGTATTTTTGTTAGTTACGTACGTTTACTCATTAATTGCGTTAAGTCTATTTTTTCTGCCAACGTAAAACCTATTTAGTATTATTGTACGATACGTAGGCATAAACTATACAAAATTAGAAAGCAATCCTATTGTTGTGAACAGAGTTACATCAGGTTTTTCGTCGAATCGGTCAATTTATCGTAAGTCATGTCTGATTGGTTATTTAATAATAAAAATTAAAACTTTTCTGCCAACGTAAAAGTAATTTGGTATTATTGTGTAATACTTAGGCATTAACTATACAAAATTTGAAAGCAATCCTATTTTTGTGAATCGAGTTACAGCAGGTTTTTTATCGAAATTCAGTATTTTTGTTAGTTACGTACGTTTACTCATTAATTGTGTTAAGTCTATTTTTTCTGCCAACGTAAAACCTATTTAGTATTATTGTACGATACGTAGGCATAAACTATACAAAATTAGGAAGCAATCCTATTGTTGTGAACAGAGTTACATCAGGTTTTTCGTCGAATCGGTCAATTTATCGTAAGTCATGTCTGATTGGTTATTTAATAATAAAAATTAAAACTTTTCTGCCAACGTAAAAGTAATTTGGTATTATTGTATGATACTTAGGTATTAACTATACAAAATTTGAAAGCAATCCTATTGTTGTGAAAAGAGTTATATCAGATTTTTCGTCGAATCGTTCAATTTATCGTAAGTCATGTCTGATTGGTTATTTAATAATAAATATTATAACTTTTCTGCCAACGTAAAAGTAATTTGGTATTATTGTATGATACTTAGGCATTAACTATACAAAATTTGAAAGCAATCCTATTGTTGTGAACAGAGTTATATCAGATTTTTCGTCGAATCGTTCAATTTATCGTAAGTCGTGTCTTATTGTTCATTTAATAATAAAAATTATAACTTTTCTGCCAACGTAAATGTAATTTCGTATTATTGTATGATACTTAAGGATTAACTATACAAAATTTGAAAGCAATCCTATTTTTGTGAATCGAGTTACAGCAGGTTTTTTATCGAAATTCATTATTTTTTGTTGGTTATGTACGTTTACTCATTAATTATGTTAATTTTATGTTTTCTGTCAACGTAAAACCTATTTAGTATTATTGTACGACTCTTATGGATAAACTATAAAAAATTAGGAAGCAATCCTATTGTTGTAAACAGAGTTACATCAGGTTTTTCGTCGAATCGGTCAATTTATCGTAGGTCATGACTGATTGTTAATTTAATAATAAAAATTAAAACTTTTCTGCCAACGTAAAAGTAATTTGGTATTATTGTATGATACTTAGGCATAAACTATAATATAACTATAATATATTTACCTATTTAGTATTATTGTACGATACGTAGGCATAAACTGTACAAAATTTGAAAGCAATCCTATTGTTGTGAACAGAGTTATATCAGATTTTTCGTTGAATCGTTCAATTTATCGTAAGTCGTGTCTGATTGTTCATTTAATAATAAAAATTATAACTTTTCTGCCTACGTAAATGTAATTTCGTATTATTGTATGATAAGGATTAACTATACAAAATGAAAAAGCAATCCTATTTTTGTGAATCGAGTTACAGCAGGTTTTTTATCGAAATTCAGTATTTTTTGTTGGTTACGTACGTTTACTCATTAATTGTGTTAATTCTATTTTTTTGCCAACTTAATACCTATTTAGTATTATTGTACGATACGTAGGCATAAACTATACAAAATTAGGAAGCAATCCTATTGTTGTGAACAGAGTTACATCAGGTTTTTCGTCGAATCGGTCAATTTATCGTAAGTCATGTCTGATTGTTCATTTAATAATAAAAATTATAACTTTTCTGCCAACGTGAAAGTAATTTAGTATTATTGTATGATTCTTAGGCATTAACTATACAAAATTAGATAGCAATCCTATTTTTGTGAAAAAAGTTAGGACAAATTTACCATCGAAAAACTCGAGTTTTCGCTAATAAAGAGCGTTTATTCATTTAATATGATTGTTTAAATGTATTTTTTTAATCTTAAAAGGCCCTGGTTCATTGTATAGTAATTTGATGCAGGAAAATGACTGTTTGCTCTCTTTGTTCATTAGAAAAAAACTGAATTTGAGGGGCGTGCCATATACTACGCAGGCTATGTCCGTCGGCTAGCTCCGTCGGCTAGCTTCAGCTTCAGCTTCATCTCGCGTCGCGACTCGAACCTTGGTTTCGAGTCTCGAGTTTTGGTTACAAGGCTATTCTAGTCTAAAGCTCGAGCCAGCTAATAAGACTTAAAGTTCAAGACTTCAATGAGTTTAAGGCTCGAGGGCTCGAGCTTTTAACAACAGTAATTCAAAATCAGTCCTATTTTATTTGTATTTGCCACAATTTATTTTGTTTACATTTAAACTGAATATAAGGCTAATATGATAACTTAACAGTTTGCTAATTCCAGAAAACATTCTCTTACCTTCTGCGAAAAGGTGATGTGATTTTCCCTTACGTGATTGAGCAAGAGGTTCAATCATTTGTGCTTTCTTATAAATTTCATTAGGAGGTGATTTTATAAGCTTTTCAGATTGTTTTGATAAATTGCCTGCTATACATCCATCCAAATCATCCCTTATTTCTTTTTCTGGTCTGGATTCAGATGTTGGAGGTTTTTCAATTGAAATAATATCATCAGAAAATTCTTCATTATATTCTAAAGCTTTGTCTGGCAGTTTACTTATATCAGGTACTTCATGGATTTTCTCTTCTGGTTCAGGATTAGAAATGAAATCATCATTATCTTCAAATATCAAATGACTACCAATAAAATCATCATCTATCTGACTGTATGACCCATCCTCTTGTTTAATTTCTTCCTTGACAGCTTTTTCCATTTTAATAAAAGGTTTGCCAGGAGAGTTTTGGGAGAGTCTCAAGAACCATTGTTCTGATTCACCATCACTCTCACTGTCACTTACATATATAGGTTCATCGTCATACCCTAAATATTCTTGCTTAACATTAAATTCATCATACTCAATAAGATCATTTTCATTCTTAATTTCATTTACCTTTGTAAGCTGCTTTTTTGTTTCTTCATTTATTGGTTGCAGTTTTGCTTTTTTAGAACCATCATCTGGTACTTTGGTAGGGACATCACAGTCACTATCAGATATATTAATTATACAATTTTCGTTTTCTTTCTTGGTATTTAACTCCTGTTTGATTTCTAACTTTATATTGTCATTTAACTTGCGTTTCATAGGTGGTTTACTGCAGAGGACTGGTGAACTCACAGTGCCTTTTTCGTTAGATTCATAATCAAACTTTGCAATCTCTGCCTCAATATTATTCAATTCATTTTCATCTTGGAATGTTATTCTGCTTATTATAGGTGATACCTGTTTGTCTTTGATTAACTTGAATACATATTTTTCACTGTCCTTAATATTAACCAGGGGAGCTCCTAATGTCCATCCTAATCCAATTAAATCAGACTCTTCTATAACATATGGAGTGTTTGGTGGTATTTTATTAGTGCCAACATACACTCCATTAGAACTCTGAAATAATATACCAAAATATATTATAACAAGTATAAAAGAAACAAAGAATGAGGATGAAAGAATGAAGATGTTATACGAGTATATTTAAGAAAAGAGCTTAACAAGTGCAGGTAGTTCTGTGCAACAGAAAACTTAATGTTTAATGAGTTACTTGGTTATACAGGGTTACTGGTTAAGTCCACCTAGATACTTATAGTTGCCATCATTTCTGATAGATATCACTATGAAATACCATATCCTATGATATAAAGAAGAATATATTGGTCTTTTAAAAAGGTTTTTTAAATTGCTGCAATTTCGCCTGAAATATTTTTTTTATAACTTTTATTCTTAATATTGTTTTTTTACTGTTTTTGTGTAGTTAATACATTGTTTTATTTTCATTACCAAAATTGTACTTAACATGTACATAACCCGGTACTACTCAGTAAAAGTCTTTGCTTGTATTTTTGGACTCTTTCCTTTTCAATTCTTGACTAACTCTTGCTAATTTGACTTTGATTGACACTGTTGAAGATAACCTATACAAACGAGGAAAATGCCAAATACTGCCAATGCCAACCACCTCTTCAAATCCACTTATTACGATAGTTAGAATCCAGCCATTCTTGTACACTTCTGGTGTAATGTAAATAAAATAATGGGTCTTTTAAATCTGCATTCATCATAAATCTGCAAAAATCCAACTTTTTCAAAGTATCTCCTTCAATAACTTGTGCAGTGGAGTATAATGATATATATTCCACTGTGAGAGTCTACGTTTCAGGGCAACAATATTGGTTGAAGTTGTTCGGTGCAATCTAAATCATTGAATTAGATCATTGTCTTCTTCATCAGTGAAACATGATGTAAACAAATCAGATCATCGACAAGAATCAGAGCCAATCACTCTAATTTGTTTATAGGCTCCGTCCAAAACACAATAACATTAGGCACTCGACTACAGCCGGTATAGCGTGCTATGTATTCACCCACGAACCAAAACTTGTATTGGCAGTATCCATAAGAAATGCAACTCTATTCCTCATTTGTATAGGTCATCATCTCCAACATTAGAAGCACAAATCAAAGTCCAGTTAGCAATATTAAGTCACAAATAGAAAATGAAACAGTTAAAAATATAAGCCAAGTGTTCACTAGGTACTAAGGGAATGTATGCTATTAATACTCCCAGTCTTTCATCTAAGTTTTTTTCTACAAATTCTGATACTGTCCTAGAGAATTACGCCTTGCTAGATAGCTGACAATATGTACATGTTTTTTAACAAATTTGCAGTTTAACTGTCATGGTTTTATCTTTATTATTATTAACCATCTACTTTAGGCCAGTTTCTTAAGTTAAGGATAATTTTAGTCATGGAAATTATAAAACAATTTATCAACTACTCAAATTCGGTAAAAAAAGTATGAAATAAAGGACATAAGTTATAAAAAAAATATATTAGGCAAAATTTTTATCAAGTTTTATAAAAAATCTTGAAGTCCATTATCTTGAAAATGGTTAGGTTTGGGATATGGTATTTCATATTGAAAACTATAAGATATGATGGCAGCTATAACTCCTTAAAGATCCTAGGTCTACTTACCCAGTAACCATGTTTATTGGTTCTCATGTCACACTTAATCCTATTATATAATAGCACCAAATTGAAAAACATACACCAATTTATTTACTTATTTATTAAATTTAGAATATTATTCTTTATTATTTATCCTCTAGATATTTGTTTATGCACTATTCTATGTGTATAGTAATGTAATGGGTTATATCACCAAGACAAAAGCTGATAAATATTAAGTTAGTTTGCATTATTTTCGAGTAAATTAATAATTCATTGTAAAAGTAATTACGAGCACCTGTAAATCTGTAATAAGTGCTTTATTGTTCTGGACATTAATAACACAATGGTTCCTCGATATAACAGCACTTGATAGAGTTATTTTGTTATTGTTTCCCCGGCCGACTGTTACATTGTCGCCTGGTGAGAGAGTAAATTCCTCACAACCGAATATTTGTCGAGATAACTTCCATTTAGCCATTTTTCTTTAGTTTATAATAAGAAGAAATATTTTGTTTATAACAAGATTCTTCAATCAGTTCATGACAGACGTAATTTTATTAAACAATCAAGTACGACAATACGAAAACTCGGAAATACAAAAACTGACATCGAACGAATTAAGGAGCGAAAATTGACAGTTTCTGCAAACACAACGGTGTGGCCATATCTAAACACCAAATAGTCTTGTCACCAAAAAATCTTGAATCGTATTCTTTTAGAATACGTAAGTTAAGATTTCTCTTGTTTCATATAGATTGAATTTATTGTGGTGACGTTATGGTGCAGCCTTGAATTTACCTTCATATTTTTTCATGATTCAAAATTTTTATCCAGCTTTAGCTAGATTGGTTGCCCAGTCTTGACCAAGTGTTCTATAATATATCTAATAGCATTTTTCGCATAATGACTACAGTTATTCTACATCACAACAACAGTATTGATTGCCTACAACCTATTGAATGGCTTAAAGCCAGTGGCGGATTAGCCACGTAGCAAGAGTAGCAAATGCTACGGGCCCCGCGCATTTTGGGGTCCCGCGCACCAACGCTTTCTGACCCTACAAATTCTACTTATATATCTATTTTGGTTCATTAGAATCAATCGCCAAATTTGATTCTTAAATGGTACAACATATTCAAGGTCATGTCAATAAAGGAAAGAAGCATACGTCATATTTATCAAAATCAACATCACTTTTCTTCGAATCCATTAAAAACTTTATATTATTTTTTCCGCTTCTGCCTATCGATGGGGTCGTCTTACGAACGCACTTAAAGAAAGTACTTTGCAAATTCCTGTTTTGAAAATGTTGTCAGGCACTAGGTGGTCAGCCCGAGCTAATGCTACTAGGTTTTATATCGACCTTGCACCTACCGACTATTACTTTTTCCAAAATTTAGACAACTTTTTAGTGGGTAAAAAAATCAATTCCCGAGAGGCAGTACAAAATGCCTTTGAAGAATTTGTTGCCTCCCGTCCAGCTGATTTTTACAAGAAGGGCATCAATAAACTGCCAATGCGTTGGCAAAGATGCGTCGATTGCATGGGTGATTACTTCGAATAACAGAAATAAAAAAGTCTGAAAAAATAAGTACTTTCACTTATTGCATACAAAACGGCAATTTCATAGGTAAAGACCTATTAGAAGTGTCTAGAGTCTGGCCACGCTAACTCTGCAGAAGTAAGAAAATTATGAAATTTGAAAATCTATGGATGGTAACACCATCTATACTACGAAAAACTAATTTGATACTAGTTGTTTAATTTTAGCCAAGTTATTTTGTTTATATTCTGATCTTTTCTTGGTAAAGAATAGTCATGACTTCAGCACGATGCATTGTAGACTTGATACAGTTTTTGAGGTAGAGCATAAGTAGGTACGATACAGGTTATAATAATTCTAGATCCTAACTTTTAAAATCTACTGAGGCTATTGTTTATCTACACAATAATAATACTTTAACCTTTTCTTTAAGAAAACCTCTAAAACTATTCAAGGACAATATAAAAATAACGATAGATTTTTGAATGTTAAACATCATTTTTTTATTTTTGTTATGCTATTTAGTGTTACCATAGCAAACACAATCATTCATCAGAATCAGAGTCTAAATATTCAATGCCTTCAAATTCAACGGGCTCATCATCTATATTACTATCATCGCTGTCAGATTCTTGTAGGTATATTATAAATAGAATAGCATCATCCAGTAACCTGTCTTTTATTTTGTGCTCCTCTTCTAATTGTTTCACATGTCCAGCATATTTTTTCCAATCATCCGCTGTGACTGATGCAAATACTTCTTCAATTTTTTTTATCATTTCTTCCGGATTGCTTTTAACATTTTTCTTTTTTAAGTTTAAGTGGCAATGATACAGTAGCAATCTCAAAACTTCGTGGCCGTGTTCTTTTAACAATTCATCTATGAAGTATATTGGATCAAGTTTGTTCCTTTTCACCAAACAAATCAGTTCTATTTTTGTGAACTCGTCTGACCATGTAATATTATTACTAGTCAGCCAGTCTCTAATGTCTTGTTTTCTTGAATTGGTATTTGGTGGCCTATTTATTTGTATACTATGGTAGCTAGCATTGTCGCAAACAATAATACTCGGTGACTCAAGATTGGGCAGTAATTTTTCAGACACCCATTTTGTGAAATTTTCAGAATTCATGTCATCATGGTAATCTGCATGCTTCGATTTTGTACTAAACACAAGTAACGCATTATTTACAAATCCATTTTCTGTCCCAGCATGAACTATAATAAACCGTTTGCCTTTTGAGATGTTCTCCACCATTTTGGAGGTAGATGGTCCTTGCCAACTTTTTTGGGTTTATAATTCAAGATACACGATAGGTTTTCTCGTTTCTACAAGCTCGTTTCTTGATAACAAAATTTTTCTTATGTATCTATGCCTCCATGCCGCCACATCATGTTTTTCCATAAGGACTGTCCGTTCTTCAGGATTTTTTTAAAATGCGTGCTGCACGCTGTTTGCCAGGAGTCCTCCAGATTCCTTGCTTATTTTGGCCCTCATTTTTAATCACTCTTAAAGTTCGTTTGCTGACTCCTGTATAAATAAATATAAATTATTTATAAAATTTAATATGAACTTGTATTGAATGCAATATGTATTGGATGTACGTTGTACCTACTTACATAATCTAACGAAAATTGTAGAAAATAAATACGTAAGTAACAGATTCTTACCACTCATTGAAGCGATCTTTTTTATATACTGGTTCTCACTATAATGGTAAGTTCTTCAAGAGCTTTTAGCTTCTGTCAGTCATGAATTAAAACCTTATCTTCAAGTTACCCACTTATATATATATACCTGGAATGACCAAAAATAAATACTTGTTAAGAGTTAACTATCTATAATTTATGTAATAGTGACATAAGACCCATAAAAGTAATGTCAAAATCCTATCTGCAGGAAGCAAATCTATAGATAGATACGTTATTGAAATTGGACGTTAATTTGACACGAGCTTCTTGTCAGCATCATGAACAGGCTATGAGTATTCGTTTTTTTTTTTATTAGATACATCTAATGGTAAAATAAAACGGCGAAGTATCAAAATCAGTAGATTTACTTACACTTCAACTTTTCGATATCTTGTAAACATAGTCATTTTTGGCTAAGGACGACATCATGCTGTTCCTTCATATCTTGTTATATAATAACTCGCGCACTCCACTTTTAATAGGTTTAACCATTTTTCTTTAAAATATATGAAAAGTGAGTGACATCAGAAAAGTATACCATATAAAAAACTCTACGCGCTTATCGGTGGCCACACCGTCAGTGCGCCGTTTTGACATATTCCTCAATACGCCTTATAAGGCTGCAATAGCATTATAGGATATGCGATATTCATAAAGACATGGGCGTACCCAAAGTGGGGCAAGGTGGGCGCTTGCCCTCCCCTCTACCCTGGCTTACACCTGTTTTTTTATACGTAATGAAAAATTTAAAACATTTGATGAAGTATAGGTTACATTGCAACACCGAAGTTTGGCAGAAAAACTATGAAGATATAACACTTTCGGTGTCCTGTATGGAAGAAGATAAGCTAAAATTGAACAAATAAAGAAAATTTTTGGTGATGCAACATTCAATGGGTCCCTCCATTCGTCGATGTTCCCGGATCCCCCATATTTCAGGCGCAGAGTGGCACACCGTGTGGTTTTAGTCGGTACGATTCGCACACGCCGCCCATTCGCAAATCGCGGTGCGATGACGGCCTAAAGGGATTTCAACACATAAAACAAAGCAGTAATGCTAGTACAACTAAAACAAAAACAAAAATATACGCTTTATTAAGTGATAAGAAAACCGAAACGACCCTTTTTAATATATTAAAATCTCGTAAGGTCGATCCCGTACGAAGAAGCAGTGGTATAAGCTACCGACGGGACTGCGGGCCTCCAGCGAGTGAGGACCTCTGGTGCCGATTAATAACTGTAGTATGGAGGCGGTCTGATCGCACCGAAATGCGATGGGGCCGCAACATGTATAGTGATAGGCGGGGGGAAGCCTCGGGATAGGGCCCAATTAGGTGCGGCATCAATCTGGAAGGGACCGGAAATCACATGATCCAGGTCCTTCCCAAAGTACGTGAAGCCGGCCGACGGATAGTTTTTAGTGGTAACATCACATACTTATTTTTTTTTACGCGGGGAGTGCTTTTAGCACCATACAGGCATGCACTCCGTTAGAGAGACAAAAAGCGTATGTGGAACTCCCGGAGAACCATTCTACCCATTAAACCTCACGGCGGGCTACCACGGCAGTCATAAGAAGTTCCAGGAACGCATTGGCGGCTTCTGGAGTCCTCTCTGCAGTACCCCATGACTGAGGCACATCCCGGGGTGACCGTGGTCACTTTCGGGGCAGGCTTACTGCCCTACATAGTAAGAGGCGCAACTATCTCTGGTTGTTTGCTGCTGCCACATCGCCCCAAGATGTGGCCGCAGCGACCCTCAGGGGAAGCTAGCGACCTTTGTTGCGTCCCTTCCGCTGCCTCCTTCGAGCGGGATCAGCCCTTTCAATACTGGCGATTTCGTCCGATCTGTCTGACTAGGACTCAGGATTCGACGCTCGGACTCTCATGCAGGGCAGTCCTCCAGCGTGTGCTGAGAGGAGTCCCGGTCAGACTCGCAGTTGTGGTATTGTGCCGTGACCTCCCGTCCAATTCGATTCGTTACAAATGCTCACCGAAGCAACGGTGCCCGGTGAGTATCTGAGTCAATCAGTAAATGATACAGTCGATCCTCACTACCCACGCTTTGAACCTGGGCAGAATTCTGAATTTCGCCACGTCATGCTGTAGCCTTCCGGGCTAATGATCCGGAGTGGACTCTTCACCATTCCGACCGACAGAGCAAACTTGGTCGTAGACCATAGCATCCATGTCAGCCAGAACGTCAAAGGCCGAGGATCGCGCCAGAACCGTCGCCGCCTGAT